TGTATGGCAGTGTTACAGACTGTGTACTGTCAGTGATCCCCCCATGATATAATGATATATTAATGTTTATTAGGGCAGTGTATGGCAGTGTTACAGACTGTGTGCTGTCAGTGATCCCCCCATGATATAATGATATATTAATGTTTATTAGGGCGGTGTATGGCAGTGTTACAGACTGTGTGCTGTCAGTGATTCCCCCCCATGATATAATGATATATTAATGTTTATTAGGGCGGTGTATGGCAGTGTTACAGACTGTGTGCTGTCAGTGATCCCCCCATGATATAATGATATATTAATGTTTATTAGGGCAGTGTATGGCAGTGTTACAGACTGTGTACTGTCAGTGATCGCCCCATGATATAATGATATATTAATGTTTATTAGGGCAGTGTATGGCAGTGTTACAGTCTGTGTACTGTCAGTGATCCCCCCATGATATAATGATATATTAATGTTTATTAGGGCGGTGTATGGCAGTGTTACAGTCTGTGTACTGTCAGTGATTCCCCCCCATGATATAATGATATATTAATGTTTATTAGGGCGGTGTATGGCAGTGTTACAGACTGTGTACTGTCAGCGATCCCCCCATGATATAATGATATATTAATGTTTATTAGGGCGGTGTATGGCAGTGTTACAGTCTGTTACAGTGATCCCCCCATGATATAATGATATATTAATGTTTATTAGGGCGGTGTATGGCAGTGTTACAGACTGTGTACTGTCAGTGATCCCCCCCCATGATATAATGATATATTAATGTTTATTAGGGCGGTGTATGGCAGTGTTACAGTCTGTGTACTGTCAGTGAACCCCCCATGATATAATGATATATTAATGTTTATTAGGGCAGTGTATGGCAGTGTTACAGTCTGTGTACTGTCAGTGAACCCCCCATGATATAATGATATATTAATGTTTATTAGGGCAGTGTATGGCAGTGTTACAGACTGTACTGTCAGTGATCCCCCCATGATATTGTCAGGTATAGCATGGCATGTAATTCATCGCCGGAACCCACTTCCGGGTTCACGGCGCTCAGCCCCGCCCCTTTCTCTGACGCGGTCCCTCCACGATACTTAGGAGGACCGCGCCAGATTCAAAGGGCTGGATTATTCGCACAGGTGCTGCATGAAGATCAGATGCTCTACTTTTGATCCTACCTGCTCCACTTCTATACCTCGGCTAGTAAACGGATTTCTACCTTCTCCACTTCTCGACCTCGGCTTGTAAACGGATTTCTACCTTCTCCACTCCTAGACCTCGGCTTGTAACTCTGAATTCTACCTTCTCCACTCCCAGACCTCAGCTTGTTAAAACGGACTTCCCCACTCTCCACTCCTAGTTCTCAGCTTGTTGAAACGGACTTCTAATTTCTCCTTCATTGGGTGAATTAACCCTTCCAGTACCAGAACTGCCTTTAAGTTAAGTAATACTTTTACCAAACAAGTCAATTCCTATTATTTATATTACACAGTATCTAAAACTCACTAAAGTGTCACTTTGTCTAATTATTCCTCTTACTCATAAGGGATTGCTACAAAGCCTAATTTTACCTTCATGGATATTTAAAGGTACAGTGACCATAGTTTCATACCAATATAAAAGGAGGTGAACCTTATTGTTGTTGCAACCAAGAAATGCTGCAGTTGAGTTCCAATTAAAGAAATATTACAAAATAAGTATTACAGAATAATCCAGCTCATATTCAATGGAACCAGCAGATATTAACTCTCAAGTTTCTGCCCTAACCAATAGAGTGGATACGATTGCTCAAGGGTTACAGGAACTGCAAATTACAAATGAGAGAATATTAACCTATGTTAGAGACATTCAAGGTCATCTTCCTCATGCCGCTCTTCAATCGGCTGGTGATCCTGCTGTCTGTAATCCAGAAAAATTTTATGGAGATAGAACAAAGTACAGAGAGTTTTTGAATTCTTGCAAACTACTAATAGCTTTAAAACCTAGATCTTATCCCACGAAAGATCCAAAGTCTGTTCAGTGATCTCTTTTTTAAGAGGTGAACCTATGGCCTGGGCCCATTCCTTTTTGGAAAATGATGATCCCATATTAGATTCATTGGATGAGTTCTTTGAAGCTATGTCTTTATTATATGAAGATCCTTTTAAACAAACTACTGCTGATTTAACCATCAGAACATTACACCAAAAGAATAGACCTGTTGAAGATTATATTGCAGAATTCAAAAGATGGGCTACAGAAACCCAATGGAATGACATTACTTTACGCAATCAATTCCGTCTCGGATTATCTGAAGCTGTGAAAGATGAACTCTCTCGTACAGAACTTCCTCCTACCTTAAATGCATTGATTCAACTGTCTATCAGTATTGATAGACGTCTAAGAGAAAGAAAAGCTGAAAGGGTTCTTACTAATTCTACCTGGAGAAAACCTTTCACTACTCTAAAACTACCTGAAAAAATTCCTCCACAAACTGAACCTATGGAAGTAGGTATAATAAAAAGTCCTCTTACTTCTGAAGAAAGAATAAGAAGGAGACAACTAAACTTATGTATGTATTGTGCTTCGAACGAACATCTAATTTCCGAATGTCCTCTACTGAAACATTCAAAAGGTGGTATGCTTCATTCATCTACCTCTATATTGAACGTTTTTCAAAAAAGAAAAGCATCTACTTATTTTTCTATATCTCTCATATTACAGTGGGATACAAAAAGAATCGTGACTGAGGCCATCATTGATTCTGGTGCTAATGGAACTTTTCTTGATTTTTCTTTTGTTTCAAAAAATAAAATTCCTTGTGTTCAAAAAACCAATTTTATTCCAATCAGAGTTATTGACGGTTCATTTATATCCTCAGGACCCATCAAAGATGAAACAATCCCTCTAAGAATGATTACCAACAACGTACATTTGAATTCATTACATTTGATATTATTAAATCTCCACTTTATCCCGTCATTCTAGGAATTAATTGGTTAAAAAACCATGATCCTTTAATTAAGTGGTCTCCCTTCTCCATCTCCTTTGCTTCTGATTTCTGTAAAAAAACGTGCTTACAACACATTCCTATTCTCCAAACTACTGTAGAACCAGTTATACCTCCATTCTACTCCGATTTTGCAGATGTCTTTTGTAAAAAAGAAGCGGAAACACTTCCTCCTCATCGGGTATATGATTGCCCAATAGATCTCATACCCGGAGCTCCTATTCCTTATGGTCATATTTATCCACTCTCTGAAAAGGAGTTAGAAATTTTAAAAGAATATCTTAATGAAAATTTACGCAAAGGGTTCATCAGACCCTCGACCTCCCCAGCTGCTTCTAGTATTTTCTTTGTGAAGAATAAAGACCAAACCATCCGCCCTATTATAGATTACAGAGCCTTAAATAAAATAACTATTAAAAATCGTTATCCTCTTCCACTAATAAATGAATTAATTGAAAGGTTAAGAACTGCAACTATATTCACTAATCTCGACCTTCGAGGCGCATATAACCTCATTAGAATAAAACAGGATGATGAATGGAAAACCGCCTTCCGGACAAGATATGGTCTCTACGAATATCTAGTGATGCCTCTCGGGCTCTGTAATGCCCCTGCAACGTTTCAACATTTTATCAATGATATCTTTAGAGATCTTCTGGATGTATGTGTTATTATCTACTTAGATGATATCTTAATATATTCTAACAATTTGGATGAACATAGGAAACATGTTAGATGGGTTCTATCTAGACTGAGAACTCATAAATTATACGCTAAACCAAAAAAATGCCTTTTTGAGGTTACTGAATTCTCTTTTCTAGGATACATTATTTCACCTCATTCTTTGAAGATGGATAATTCCAAAATCAAATGTATTATTGATTGGCCTGCTCCTACTACTACAAAAGAATTACAACGTTTTCTTGGATTTGCAAACTTCTATAGAAAATTTATTAGAAACTATTCGGATGTATCACATCCTCTTAACCTCCTCAACAGTAGTAAACGTCCTTCTAATTGGAATAAAGATGCACAAACAGCCTTCGACGAATTAAAAAAAAGATTTACAACTGCACCTATTCTACAACTACCTAATCCAACATTCCTATATGTTCTTGAAGTTGATGCATCAGATGCAGCCATCGGAGCAGTTCTTTCTCAACAAAAGACTCCACAAGATCCACTTCATCCAGTTGCCTTTTTTTTCAAGATCCTTGAGCTCTGCTGAAAAAAAATTATCCTATTGGTGAAAAAGAATTATTAAGTGTTAAAGCTGCCTTCGAAAATTGGCGTCATCTTCTGGAAGATACAAAACAACCTATAATAGTTTATACTGACCATAAAAATCTTGAATATCTCTATACTAACAAAAACCTTACAGCTAGACAAGTTAGATGGAACCTATTTTTTAACCGATTTAACTTCCAATTAATATACAGACCTGGAAATAGAAATAAAAAGGCTGACGCTCTTTCTCGAATTCCTTCTAAAACTACTACTGATGATTATCCTTCTACCAAAATAATAGGAATCCTCTCTTCTCTTCATGATGACATAAAAAATTTGAATCAGAAGGATCTTGAACTTCCCAAAACACCTATACTAACAAAAAAGGATGGTCTAGGAATAAATTACTTAAGATGGTTCATGATTCCCCCCTAGCTGGACATCCTGGAATAAAGAAAACACTTGAACTAACTTCACGATATTATTGGTGGCCTCGCCAGGATAGATCCATTGCATTATATGTCAAAACATGTCCTATC